TATATATACATTTTAGTTAAATATTTTTGTAAAATGCTATATTTTTTAATAAAATTATATAGATAGATAGACAGATAGATAAGATAAATATAGATATATAGATGTATATAATTTTTTAATAAAGCTGTCTAATTATAATATATATAATATAAAATGATAAGAGAAATTTAAAAAAATTATATACAGAAAGTCCATCTGAGATTTTTCTTGTAAATGAGCATTTTTATCAGGCTCCTATGAAAATAACTTTGTAGATTTTTGAAAATAAGGTATTCAATAACTGATTAATAACCCTTTCTTTGCCATTAAAGTGAAATTACTGAACCTAAACATAGGAGCCTGATAAAAATGCTCATTTAAAAGAAAAAATCTTAGAATATACAATTCAGTTTTTTATATGAGACAAATGGCTATCATGAAATTGTATTATATCGTATTTTAACATAAGCCATCCATAACCTAAAAAATTAATTGTCTATACTATAGAGTGCTGCTAACATGCTTTATTTTATTCGTTATCAAGCATATGTTTGCGATGAATCAGTGTTTTGTTTGGATGCTTGAACTTGCTGTATCTGTGAAGACAAGTCCTGACAAAAACAACCATTCAAGCACATGGACAGCAGCCCTGCTGGAGTCAGATTTAATATCTGTGAGATGAATTATGGCCACAGATATAGTTTGATTAAGCAGATAAAGGGGGGAAGTACTGACACTCTACTCTTGAAGGGAATGTATGAGCGTGTTTCTTCATTAACCGGTTGCTACAGTAAGTGAAACGGAGCACAAACACAGATCACGGTCAGTGCTGGTATTGATGCATTCTAGGTAAAGCTTTCTTCCTCTCGACTTGTGTAAACCAATCTAGACGGGCCGCTTGATAGGGTTTGAAATTCAAGCTACACTTCGAGCGCTCGCCAAAAACAGCGATGAGTTTCATTGCCCTCCACCACGACCGCACCGTGTCAGTGCAAGAGCTTAGTTTCAGGAAAAGTCGAGCGATAGATCACTAAAACGTCTCATTTTAGGATGTGACTCGTGGCCTTGGTGAATAAGGCAGGAAATGTCAAAGGAAGGCGTTTCCTTTGTTGGCACACTGACGAGTTATCTTATCGTGAACCTTGAGAGATAGTGAAAGCATGTGTGAACATAAACGCTGCGGTTACACATGGCTCTTTCACACCCACTTATTCACTCAATCCTGATGTTTCATATTTCCTATAGAGTTGTTTGTTGAGGCTGCTGTTAACGATCTAGTAAACATTACTTAACCTTCACAATGCATTCAAAATCTGTATGCTATTTGTTTTATAAAACAGTCATAGTCATAACTTAATATTTTTCATCTAAAACCATATCGTATGTGATCAGCAACTTCTCATTAATGAATTTGAAAAAATTCAATGTTTTCCATGTTATTATTACTGTATTTACCCCTTTTGGTAGAACTTTATTTTGCAGTCCTCTTCCGCATGTACATACTATGTACTTGTTATAGTAATTACAATAACTGTTTAATAACTAGGTACTAACCCTGAACTACCCCTAAACCTAACCCATGTAGTTACCTTTTCCAGTACGTTCTTAGATAAGTACAAGTGCACGTACTGTAACCATGTAGAGATCCGTGATCCGGCACGACACGCGAGACAGGTGTGAGTTCACCCATTTGGTGAAGGTCTTCTTCTGCACGGCCTCTCGCTCGTCTGCAGGAGCACAATAAAGAGGTTTAGCAGCTGGAACTCAGAATTACAATACTTTCTCCCATGGTTCATAGGGGTTGTTAAGCACGGAGTACGTAATTGTGGGAAAATCACTCTTTTAACACACGACCTGGAGTGAACCGTAGCAACAGCAATACTATAAAACACAACAACGATCAAAGGTTGATTAATAATTTCATAAATACTGTTTTTAATATGTTTATAATCATTTATTTTAATAAATTTTAATGCTAAATTATTTACTATAAAATATAATTTAAATAATGATTTAAATAAAACTATTTTAATACTTTTATAATAATAATAATAATGCACTTATCTAAAAATTATTTTAATTAATTTTGATTCAAAACTATTTCATATAAAAATATAATTTAAATAAATACTATTAGAATACCTTTATAATAATACTACACTTAGCTAAAATGTATTTCAATTAATTTTAAAACAAAATTATTTAACATAAAAATTACATTTAAATAATGATTTAAATAAAATACTATTTTAATACTTTTAGAATAATAATAATAATAATAAATACAATTATCTAAAATGTATTTTAATTAATTTAGTCCAAAATTATGTAATATTAAATATAATGAAAAACAACATTTCTAAATACTTCTATAATAGTAATTAATAATAATAATATGAATACTACACTTATCTAAAATGTATTTTTATTAATTTTAATACAAAATTATTTAATAATTTAAATCATAATTTAAATAAAAAAAATATTGTGATTTTACTATGAGTTTTATATACGTGCTATATTTAGAATGGTATGAACTAGATCTTCTAGAAAGAAAGGAGGCCGTTCCCCCCAAAAACATTCCCAAATACTAATGACTTTTTTTCTATGAAGAATCAAAATGACTTAAAAATAGTCCGTGTGAAGCCACACATTCAACCGTGTCGCAACCCGAAACCCAGTTGTTCACCCTGCCAAATGCAGCTCTTTATTTATAATCCTCCCAATTTTCCTGTTATTGCATTCCTTGTCTTCACAAAAGACGTAAGCATCTGATTCAATTGTTGTGGCGAGACGAGAGCGTTTTTTCCTGGTTGACCCCTGTGCGTTAAAGACGACAGGATGAGACCGGATCGCTGGACAAGAGTGACAGAACATGAGGGAGGAAGGACAAGAATGAGGCGAGAGAGAATGGAGGGAGAGGTCGTGTGTGTGACAGCCGGACCCCAAATACAACAAACAGAGGAAGACGAACATCTGCTGATGAAGCAGGACAGAGGCCATACGTATATCCACAGCAAAATAAAATAAAATAAAATAAAATAAAATAAAATAAAATAAAATAAAATTCTGTATAATGAAATTGATTTTAAAAAGATGATTAAATAAACTGAAATTAATAAATTGTTTAGGAAATAAAATAAAATAAATAAAATTCTGTATAATGAAATTGGTTTAAAAAAGATGATTAAATAAATTAAAATTAATAAATTGTTTAGGACCATTAAGAGTTTTTCACTGTGACATTATTTTCATGATAATTAAGCACTTTTCACCCCCAGCTGATCATTACTGTGATGCCATTTTACTTTCAAGCTTTTATTTTTGAATAATTATGATTTCAATTCACAATATTGTAATCCTTACCAGGATGAATGTGCTTTCGTGTCATGAAAATAATAAAAACAATGCAAAACATGTTAGGTCCTAAAATAAAATAATAAAATAAAATAAAAATACATTTGAATAAATTAACCAATATTTTAGGACCATTAAAAATATTTGAATTGTGAAATTATCTTCATGATAATTAAGAACTTTCTCACTCCCAGCCGCTCATTCCTGTAATATCATTTTAATGAGTTTTTTTATTTTAATAATTCTCAACATTGTAATTTTTACTGAATGAATGTGAATGTGCTTAATTACTATGAAAATAAAGCAAAATAATGAAAACAACGCAAAACATGTTATGTCCTATTTTTTTTTTTCAAATAAAATCAAATAAATACATTTTGTACAATGAAAATGAATTCTTATTAAATAAAAATATATACTTTTTTTAGGACCATTAAGAATTTTTGCACCGTAAATATTATTTTTGATGATAATTAAGCAAATTTTCTCTCCCAGATACACATTACTAAAATGTAATTTTACTTTAGAGCTTTTATTTTTGAATAATTTTCAAAGGCGACAGGCAATACTATAATTTTTACCGTGGTGAAATGTGCTTAAATTTAAAATAATGAAAACAACGTAAAACATGTTAAGTCCTAAAATATGCCTAATTTTCTTCATGCAAAACAGTTCTTGTTTATATGTTTTAATTATTTCTCATTTCTTTCTTCTGATTTGAGGGTGAAATATGACCAGACCATGTTCTTGCTGGATTGTGTGATTTCTGCTCATGTATGTGTGTATGTCTGCATTATAGACAATGAGAAACACACTTGAACAGCATGTGCAGAACTGATGATTGATTTTTCCAGGCGACAGAACAGCTATGAAAGCAAATCTTACATCGAACCATCGTCTCTCACGTCAAGCTTCATACACACTCCTATACATACACAGAAAAGGGCTGACCATGTTTCTCATCATCATGTCTCTCTAAACTCTTACTGGATGACAACTAGTGATTTATTTGCATCTGTAAAAACATCTGAGACGAAGATACTCGAATGCAATATAACTGAGAGATTCATTAAACCTTGTGAACTGTTAAAGATCAAACTTCACTTTTCCTCTGGGTTCAGATACACATGCAAATCACATTTATAAACTCAGTCCAAACCACAATATTTCAGAATGAATGTTTTTCCTGGATGGGGAAAAACTACATATTTCAACACAGATATCTTCTGTTCCTTCCTCTGCTTGAACATCTGATTTGAATATACTTTGCATAATGGAAATGCATTTTAATTAAATTAAATTACACTAATCATTTTTGCATCGTGATATAAAAAAAAATTATAATAAAATAAAATGTATAATAAAAATGACGAAATACACTGAATGATAAATAAATGTTTTAATTAATTTTAGGACCATAAAGATGTGTTGCATTGTGAATAAAATAAAATAAAATAAAATAAAAATGATTTCATTATTTTTAGGACAATTAAGAATTTTTGCATTGCAATATAAAATCAAATCAAAATATTTTTATAATCAAAATGCATTTTAATTAAATTATTTAAAAAAAAATTGCATTATATTTGTGATAATTAAGCACATTTTTGTGCTAATTCTCAATAGCAATTCCTCTACTTGGACGTCTGATTTGAAGATCTGAGCTTAATTCATTCAGCTAAATGTCAAAGTGTCTAGGAGAAAAAATGGAGACATTATAAAGACCTGCACTTTCTCTTTCAGACGACCTGGTCACGACCAAGCTCTCTCCTCCGTTTGGTCTGACGTGCCGCTGAACTATGGCTGCATTGTGAGCGATAGCATCGCAACCAATGCCACCGAACGCTACATATTAGCCAGGCTTGCGGATACTCCCAGAGGACTGTGGGTAGGGCAAACAATGGCAGCAGTGTTCCTCCCCTCGGCCGCGGGGAAGGCTGCAGGAATGCAGCAGCATCTGGACTTAGTGTTGGGTAAACACTGAGCAGAGCGGCTAAATCAAATCAATGGACGTGTTATAAATTCATCAAACACAGCTCATCTAACAGATCCAGCCTGTGTATGCCCTCCTAAAGACCAGGTAGCTTGAATATAAATGGCTATATAATACTGTGCTGCACATACATTTTTTTTTTTTAAATAATGAGTAAATTAAAATTAATACATTTTAGGACCATTAAGATTTTTGGATTGTGAAATTATTTTCATGATAATTAAGAACGTTTTCACTCCCAGGTGCTTATTACTGTACACCATTTTACTTTTTAGCATTTATTTTTAAACAATTCTTAATGGCAATTCTCAATATTTAAATTTTTACTGAGGTTAATTCTTATAAAAATAATGTAAAATAATGAAAGCAATGCAAACATGTCAGGAAATAAAATAAAATATTTTTTTCAATATTGTCAATGATTCTCAATATTGCAATTTATACTCTAAGTGTTGAATATAAATGGCTATATAATACTAAAATTAATATAATAAAAATATTTTGTATAATATAAACACATTTTAATTAAATAAATTAGAGTGATTCATTTTTTTTAGGATGAATGTGCTTAATTGTTATGAAAATAATGTAAAATAATGAAACAATGCAAAACAAAAAATAAAATATACATTATTTTAATAAACTAAGATAAAACCATTTTGCATAAAGAAAATGACTAATTTTAATGAAATAAAATTAATACATTTTATGACCATTAATTATTTTTTAAATATATTTAAAATAATTTTTTTTCAATATTGTTTTTTTTTTTTGTTGCATTTTGACATTATTTTCATGATAATTAAGCAAATTTTCACTCCTATTACTGTGACGTCATTTTTTTTAAATTTCTCAATAGCAATTCTCAACATTGTCATTTTTACTATTTGCATGTTATAAATTCATCAATCCGCCGCTCAGCTAGCATCTCGAGAGTGTTTATGTAAAAACCTGGTAGCTTGTATATAAATGACAGATTAATACTCTGCTGCTAATAACACCCAGACGCAGATTGTGTACAAGTGTCCTTAGTTTAAAAAAATGAACCGTAAAATGTGATTTAATTTATTTTGAGGGCAATGAAAGCTAACAGTGAGAGTGAATGTGCATGCGGTTGAGCAGCACAGCGTGTTCAGATAAATCAATACTGGAGTCCGGTCAGGAGGTCACATTAGTCACTAGCATTGTGACGGTATGCGCGTATAATGTTCATACCAGTATATTTCCATAATGGGAACATTGGAAACTGTGTAGGCTGAATTCTCCTTTGCATTAACCTGCTAGACGTATAAGCACCACCATCATGCTCAAGTTATCAAGGGTTGCTACTGAATAGAAAATGAGTCACTGAGATGTTCTTGACTATCTTTAGTAGTT